ATTAATATTTTTGAGGTGGGTGGATGGCCCCATCCCTCAACTGGGGGCAATGCCTATCCACTGGATATGGTCTCTACAGGTTCTCTCTCCCCTTTGTTGGGTATTTCTGCTAAAGTCCTCCCTGTTGGATCCTGGGAACCTCTTGGGTCCCTGGCATCTGGGACTTTCTAGTTGCTATCCCCCATTCCTCCTCCCCAATTGCTACACACCTACTTTCAAATTCCTGACCTTCTGTACTTCTCCCCCATCTCATCCTATATCTGAACTGGCCCCCCTTTTGCCCTACCCTCCTCACTCCCTCCCAGATCACCCTCTCCCTCTACTTCCCAGAGATTATTCTCTTCCCCTTACTGAGTAGGACTGTAGCATCCACACTTTAGTGTGATCTTCTTTCTTCTTGGTTTTCATATGGTCTGTGAGCTGTATCATGGGTATTCCAAACTTCTTTTTGGCTAATGTCCACTTATCAGTGAGTGCATACCAATGTGTGTTCTTTTGTGATTGTGTTACCTCACTAATATTTTTTTCTCTCAGATGACTATTCTGTTTCTGTCTACCATTCTTCTCCCTTGTTCTTGATTAAATAGCAGTGGTCATTAGATTTCACGATTTATCTCTACTCATAGAGATTCTATTTCAATATGTAGTATCAGATATGTACTTTAATATGCACCACACAAACGATCATTATGCTTTGGGATCCAGGAGAATCTGGATTTACCTTGCTTAAATAGTAGTCCAATATTGACTTGGTAGTTTCCTGTTTTATTTTTTTTTTTAAAAAAGGTCATTGTCAGTTAAAAAGTTCTTAAATCACAGTCATAGAGCTATAGTAGGATGGTCTACTGGTATAACAAATGGGTTGTCACTTTTGACTCTTTTTGATATTTCACTTCCTAGTTACCCCTTTGACACCCCACCATCCCATATCTGACTTCCCCCTCCCTTTTGCCTGTTTGAGAGTGTTCCTGCCCCACCTACACTCTCCCACCACTCCAGCATCCTTCTACTCTAGGGCATCAAACCTCTCAGGACCAAGGGCCTCCCCTCTCCTTGCTGTCGGGCAAGATCATCCTCTGCTACATACGTATCTGGAGCCAAAAATCCCTTTAGGTACACTCCTTGGTTGGTGGTCTGGTCTCTGGGAGAACTGTGTGATCAGGCCAGCCTATGTTGTTGTTCCAATGGGGTTGCAATCCTCCTCTGCTCCTCCAGTCCTTCTACCAGCTCCCCCACCAGGTTCTCTGAGTTCAGCCTGATGGTTGGCTCCAAGCATCTGCCTCTGTATTGGTCAGTTGCTAGCCTCCCCAGGAACTGCCACACTTGGTTCCTGTCAGCAAGCACCTCTTGACCATGCATCAGTGTTGGGTTTGGTGTCTGCAAACATGATGAATTCCCAGGTGGGGCCATTCCCAGTGGCCCTCCCTTCAGTCTCTGTTTCATTTTTTTTTTGTCCCTGTTCTTCCTTTGGACAGAAACATTTCTGAGTTAAAAAAAATCTTTGAGATGGGTGGGTAGTTCCATCCCTCAACCAGGGGCTGTGCCTACCTACTGGATGGAGGTGGTCTGAGGAATCAACATCCTTAGTCATCAGGGAAATGCAAATCAAAACAACCCTGAGATTCTACCTTACAACAATCAGAATGGCTAAGTTCAAAAACGCAGGTGACAGCAGATGTTGGCGAGGTTGTGGAGAAAGAGGAACATGCCTCTAATATTGGCAAGATTGCAAACTGGTACAACCACTCTGGAAATCAGTCTGTCATTCCTCAGAAAATTGGACATAGTATTACTTGAGGACACACCTATACCACTCCTAGGCATATACCCAAAAGATGTTCAAACATGTAACAAGGAAACATGCTCCACTATATTCATAGCAGCCTTATTTATAATAAACAGAAGCTGGAAAGAACCCAGATGTCCCTCAACAGAGGAATGGATACAGAAAAATGTGGTACATTTACACAATGGAATACTACTCAGCTATTAAAAATAATGACTTCATGAAATTCACAGGCAAATGAATGGGACTAGAAAATATCATCCTGAGTGAGGTAACCCAGACACAAAAGAACACACATGGTATGCACTCACTAATAAGTGGCTATTAGCCCAAAAGCTCACAATGCATATGATACAACTTACAGACCATATGGAGCATAGCAAGAAGGAAGATCAGGGGATGGATACTTCAGTCCCCATTGAGGGGGTAACAGGAAAATTGTGGGAGATGGAAGGAAAGTGGGACAAGGGAGGGAGAAAGGAAGAGGAGGAGGAAATAAGGGTGGCAGTATCAAAATCTGGAGGAGAGGTGAGAGAGGTACAGAGGGTCAAGAAATCAAATAAAGATAGGTAGTAAGCATAGCCACTCAAGGTGTCCCAGAAACTAGATAAGCATGAGGCTCCCAGGACCCAAGGAGATTGGCTTTAGCCATAATTCGCAGAGAAGGGAGAGATAGAACCCATGAAGACTTTTGGCTCTTTTGATGGAACCATTCTTTGCTCTAGGGGCTACTTTTCTCATGTAATGAAAGATGTGAAACATCCTTGGTTCTCATCAACTAGATAAGCACCCCTCAGTTTAATGACCAACAAAACATTCACCTTATAAATTTCCTAATGTCTCCTAAGGGGCAATACCACACCTGTTCAGGGCCATTTATAAGTCTTAAATTTTAAGTGAGGGAAATGGGCCATGGAGATTCCCAATCTCTCATTGGGTTCCCCTTGAAGTAATAGACTCTGAAATCAGATTTTATCCATCCTAGGTTTCTGTAACTGAGTTTAGGAACCTAAATATAGGTCTATCTATCTACCTATTGGAGTGGACATCTTTATTAAAAAGGAAAGAGACCATCAGTACATTAAAACTATATGAAAGACAACTCCCAGATATTCATTGAATTAAATTGAACCATATAATTCTTCGTCTGTAGCTTCTTTAAGATAAGTAGGTTTCAGGTTCTCTCCTAAGGAGATAACCATTTCTCAAGAGTGGCTGGATTGTTTACTTATATTACACTTTGAGGCAAAAAAAAAATTAGCTCATTAACATATTCCTGGTATTTCAAGAATATACTTCTGGGCTATGCACCTAACTTGAATGTGTTTTTCTGCTTCTTGGCTTATCCTCAGTTTTTAGGATGCTACCAGGTACACAGGTAGGCAACAAATATTTAAGGTTAAAGGAATGATAACCTGATGAATAACAGCTCATTTACTTTCCTCAGACAAGAATAAACAAAACAACTGTTTTCAACATTTATATCTCCTTAGAGAATTAATGAGAAAATATGAGTTTTAAAAGACTAGCTAAAGGACCAGGGTGGTAGTTCCATAGAAGAGTACATCTCCAGAATATACAAGGCCCTGATATTAGTCCCTTGTGTCATAAGAGAAAAGAATACCAAGTATCCCCACAGAATATTTCCTTTTAGTGCTCAAAATATTTCCTTTTGTTGATAAGGAAAGAGTAGATAAATGTGTCTTTTTATGCCTACAGAGACCAATGCTGTTAGGTGGACTGAAGCTCTCAGGGCAGGCTGCTGGGGCTAGTGCCCCCTGAACTGACCTGTCCTCAGTTCTCTGTTCAGCTGTACTAATAGTGATATGGGAAAAAAACCACTGATGGATTGTGATGAGAATCACAGATATCAGGGAACTGGGCATCACCTCACAGATTCTGGACCCCTCGGTTTGCAACTGGACTCTAAATATAAGAAGATGAAATATAATAAAGAAAAGAATGGTGCCCTTTAAACCTCAATGAGTCATACAAAGATGTATTTATTTAATAACATCAACTGTGCAAAAGTCTTCAGTATTTGAATTGATGAGAAGGCTAACAGTGTTCAACAAATTGATATTGCTTTTCCAAAGGAGTAATGTGACCTCAAATCACCTTATTGAAGTCTAAAGTACAGGAGACAGCATTCAAATACCTTCAATACAAGCAAGGTACCTACATGAACCAGATTCTATTCAGAAAATGAGCTAGAGGTTGAAGGCTCTGTAACTCAGTCATATGGGGAATAATGAAAATAACTGGACATAATTCACATGGGTAAGAGAGGAGTCTCTGTTCAGTTTTGGTGACTTACAAAGATTTTAAGGACTAACAGATGTGGCAAAGAAGAGCCTGGTTCTGTACATCCCTTGAGAATAAAATAAAGACCAATGGATGGAAATGGCTATAATCAGATGAATGGCTCAACAGCAGGGAATACTTTCTAATGACTCTATTCCATCAAGCATTGTGGTGGGCTATTTCTTTAGTGAACTTCTCATGACTGGGATAGCTCAAGCGACTGATTGATAACATAGCAGGAAAGTCATAGAGGAGATTTAACTACATAAAGTTGACCCTCATTACTCTTAAGATATCATTAATGCCTACATACAGCTGTGTGGGTTTTACACATTTAAAGTGACAAGTAAATCATATTTCATGTTAGCATTCATGTATGCTATATATATTCATACATACTATATCTGTCACTATGATGAGGTTAAGTCATTATTTAGGATATCAGTGATCATTGTTATTTAATTTTTAAAAGTGTTTTTTATTTGTGGGGACAGATTCACTATTCAGCATTGCCTGCTCTGAAACACACTATTCTGTTTAACTGTGAAATGTATTTAGAAATTTATAGAATTAGATAAGAAGGTGCTTATGAGTCTTGAATTTATCTCCACAGCACTTTTGCCACATTGACCAAAACTGTACATCTCTTGAGTTTTAAATTGAATGAATATCAAGGGTATAATTCCTCATTATTGAAAAGACTTTGAACACTGAGCTTCTGACAAACATGGGAACAACATGGAAAGTTTGAAAAGCCATTCATGAATAAGAGTGGAAATATTGGTCAATAATGCTTGTTATTATGTGATAAAACACTGATCTCATATGATCATATTATTGTATACTCAGTCTAAATAGAAACTCAAAATGACTGCATTCATCCTGATAATATTTACACTGGCCTTTTCAGGTCCTGAAAATGAGAAGTTGTTACTAGGATTCCAGGCTACCAGAGAGATGATACATCTTCTACAGGTAATTCGTGGTTAAAAATAGAGTCTTCTATATCAGGGACTGTGACGCGCGCGTGTAGTGTCTCGCCGGCAAGAACGCGCACACACACACACACACCCACACCAGAATCCTTCCTTAGAAACACGTTTATTTCCTTAAACCAAAATGGTGGCAGAAGACGGCCCCCAGCCCTGGGAAAGCCCCTATATACCCTAGAGCAGCGTATTCACCTCTGATTGGCTGTTTACTCGTAGCGCGCCAAACGCCGTGGGATGGGCTTTAACTTTGGCGGGCTTTTACCATGGCACATGCGCAATTTATTTGTTTACTAGGAAGAGTTATGGCTGACAGCACCACCTAGCGATGGCGGACTTTGCCAGCACCTGCCGCGGCTCCCAACAAGGGACTAGCCTCAACTTTTCCATACATACAAGGATGTCCTTGAACTGCTGATCCTCATCCTTCCAACTCCCAAGTTCTGGGATCCTAGTTTTTGTGGTGGAGAATATTGACCCCAGGATTTTGTGCCCAATAAGTTACTTTTCTGTTGCTGTGAGAAAAACCATGACCAAATGCAACTTAAGGGAAGAAATAGTTTATTTATCTTTTTCTTCTGGGTCACATCCATCATTGAGGGAAGTTACGGCAGGAAACTGAAGGCAAGAACCATGTAGTAGTGCTGCTTACAGGCTCTCTTTCTGGTTCATGCTTAGTTAGCCCATCTACTTAAGGATGGTGCCACCAACAGTGGGCTAGGTCCTCCCATATCAATCAGCAATCAAAGCAGTCTTTCATAGACATGATCACAGGTCAGTCTGATTTGTACAATTCCTTAGTTGAGGCTTCCTATTCCTGGATGACTCTAGGGTATGTCAAGTTGAAAATAAAAATTAACCTCCACATTAAGTGAAGCACCCTGCCAAATAATCTGTATTCCTAGCTCTTCAGAGGCCATTTTTAAGTAAAAAATAAAGACAAGAATCTCTAGATTTATATATTATGTGACCCTCCAAAAGGTTACATTAATACACATTTTATGTAAAACATGATCTGTATCAAAGTTTAAATGTACACTCCTATGTGTTCTTCTGCATTTCAAGTGTTGGGCTTCCAAATACACTCACTGAGACAAGCTGCTGACTCTATGTGAGGATGAACCAAGTCTGATTTTTCTGTGTGAATGCTACCAGAGCCAAGTAAAGACTCAGCATTGTGACCAAGTGAAAATCTTTATCCTTCTAAGTAGAGTCATTTATTATGGTTGTATCTGCCAGATCAGGGTGAGTTTTTTACAATGCATGAGCACTACAGTTCTTTCTCTAGAACTCAGTGCACATGGATTAGTCAGGGGTGTATCACTCTCCAAAGATTTCAGAGAAACCATGAACCATTTGTAGAATATGCTTCTATTAGTGATATACTGCAGTTCCTCTTAGAACTCCTCCTCCTCCTCCTCCCCTTCTTCCTCCTCCTTTTTTTAAATTCTTCTTCTTTTTGATATGATCTCAGATCAAGCTAATCTCAGGCTTGACATGTAGCCAAAGCTGGCTTTGAACTGTTGACTCTCCTGTTTCCACTTTTCAAGTTCTGTGTTTACAGGTATGTGCCCCCATACTCCATATGAGGTTGTCCTTAAGGAATTATCACCTAACAATTTGTGTGTATATGAATGGAATAAGCTCAGTGTGTATGTGAATGATTTTTGAAAGTACATTTAAGTTCTTGTTTTCCATAAAATGTGTACCAATAAAACATTGTAAATTTCAAGAGAGAAAATTATCACTGGGAGAAAGAATCATAGAAAATCCACTAAATGCCCTTTTAAAAATGAGCCTAGCTCTTCTTCCAATCCTGTAAGACAGCATGCCATTACAAATCCATGTCATCATTTATACTGTATTGATTTCATTGTCGTGACTTTGGAAATAGTGTTGTATACATTTGCGATAGCTCATAAATGTTCAGAGTAACATTTAGAAACCAACTCACTATTCAGAGACAAATAGAGACTATGGAGCAGGTACATTAGTGGGTAGAGTGTATAGACTAAGAAAACTGCTTAAATGTCTTTTGAACGTTAAGTAAAAGAATTTCTTAAATAATAGGCATTTGAAATTGAATTCCAAAGAGAAAAACTGTGTTGCTCAAAGTGATGACTCCATTGGAAGGCCTTAATTTTTTTTTAACTCACTAGTCCTGAAAAGATCAGTTTCTATAAGAATTGACAGACCAGCATCCAGCATACAAGGCAGCAGTATTTTCTGGGTGATAGGATCAGTGCTTTAGCACATGAGCACATGTGAGTCTTAGTTGCAGATCTGGAATTATGCATATCATTGTGTCAATACCTCAGGACTCATGGTTCCAATTGTATTGGTACCAGATGGGGAATCAATATGTTATCTAATCCAGACTAATTAAGGGGCTTTACTCCTAAGAGTGGGTAGGAGAGATGTGACCATTTTGTTCCTATTTTCTTCATCCTGAATTAAAAAAAACAAAGCAAAACTTGGCTGGAAGCAGCATTAGCTTTGCTGGCAGCTGCTGAACTCTAACTTAACCAAATGACATAGCTATAGCAACAGGGAAATACTGGAATTTTAAGATTAACATGCTAGTGAAACTTGCTAAATATAACGTAGTTTATGGTGAGGTGTATCTCATAGGTATTTCCTTTATTTTTCAAATGAATAAGTCAGGTTTTGGAAGGAAAATAAATTTATTATATATTGTGGCAGATGAAATTTCTCCATCCCTTGATTCATATCTATAAAGCATGCTTTGAAACCAAATGAGATAATTTGGCCTGATTGTCTAAGGCATGGATGGAAACTGGGCTGTCAGAAAGCCATCTACAGATTTGTGTGGGTGTGTTAGAATATTCACTTTTGGGATTTAGTGGAAAGAACACTGGCCTGGGAATCAGGAAACCCAATTACCAACCTCTATCATTAAACTGTTATGAGATTGTCAGTAAATATCTGGATTTTGTTGTTGTTGTTGCTGCTCTGTGTGTGTGTGTGTGTGTGTGTGTGTGTGTGTGTGTGTGTGTGAATCTGAAAAGCCTAGAGTTAAGATTCCTGTGGCTTCTTAGTGGCACACAATGGAATGAAATGAGAAGAAAAAAATGAATATTCTAGGATCTCTGATCTTAGAAGGAATAAAATAAACTTTTGGGGTAGCCATAGTTTCTTTTCCACTTGATCAGATATATAATAGAGTCTACTATTGGCTTTGTGGTCTTTAGATTCTCCATTCCCCATGGGCAGTAGTTCTATATAGATCTCAAAATTAGACCGATATCTCTATTATACCCCATCCAGCAAGGCTCTGATCCATATCCTGTGTTTAGACAAAAGAGATTTAATAGCAGGTATGCTCCTATTTAGAGGTCAAGACAAGAATCTCATGAATTTGAGGTCAACTTTATCTACAAAACACACACACTGGTACACATGCACACACACACACACACACAGAGAGAGAGAGAGAGAGAGAGAGAGAGAGAGAGAGAGAGAGAGAGAGAGAGAGGGAGAGGGAGAGGGAGAGGGAGAGGGAGAGAGAGAGAGGGAGAGAGAGAATATGAGAATGACAACAGACAGACAGACAGACAGACTAAGAAAATAAGAAATAGAAATTCTATCCTGGAAATGTCACTGATGAGGTGTAGCTACATGTTCTCAAGTTCTCTCCCTCAGCCGTAATAAATATATTCTTGCCACTTTTCTGTGACCAATTCCTTGTAGTTACCTCCACATTAAGAAACTCATGGTCTCCCAGTGATTCTTTCTCTTTTAGCGAGCCAGAGTCTTCTAAGAACCTGGGTACTTGCCTTGGCTCCATGCTTGGAGTGCATGTCTATTGAACATTGAGATTCTGTTGCTATTTTCAGTTTGGGAGCTTGGGTCTGACCATTTCCAGGATTCACTGAAGTAGCCCATCTGCTGAAACATCTGTGTGCAGCTTGTGGCTGGGACTTTAGGACACCTCATAGCCTCCAGGCCAATTTAGTTCTTAGCTTCTTGCTGCTGGTCCTCACTGCAGCTGCATCCTGTATCTACTGCTGCTTGTTGCTAAATCTTAAGGAGTGTTCACTCTGGATTATGCAGACACTCTTGTCACTCATATCTTGGGCTTTCTGATTGTGACTTTTAGCCTCTGTTTCTTACCTCTTACTAGAGAGACTTTCACATCAAATCCATTATATGCCTTCTTGGTATATGAGCTTTTTTTTCTAGGTAATTGTTACATTAATTCAGAGAAAATGTGATTGTTGTATCTAGAAACAGGTATCTGTGGTGGAATTAAAATAAATCTCGTTAGCTAAAGAAATATTCTCTTTATGGAACCAATCTTGGTGACATATGATATTCCGGGACTATGTTACAAAATAACCTGCTATGGACTTAATTCTGTCTGTCAAAATTCATGCACTGATACTTTAACTCCTAGCTTGACTAGATTTAATTATTTTTAATTGGATATTTTATTTATTTACAATACAGATGTCATCTCATTTCCCCATTTCCCTTCCCTAGAACCCCCTGTCCAATCGCCCTCCTCCTTTTTGCTTTTATACCATTTTAATTACATGAATGAATTAAGTTCAGTTTGAGGTTGAGGGTCTAACAATATGATAGATACAAATAGTTAAGGAACAAGTAAGTTAATAAACACAAATAGTCAAAGAACAAGCAAGGCATTACAAGCAATTCTGTGAAAATGCCCTTGATCACTCTTTCTAAGGGCTTACCAGGATGACCAAAGTATCTGAGCCTAATTCCCTGTCCTAGCCCAAAGTCATTTTCATGTCTGAAGCCTACTTCCTTGTTCTAGCCTAAAATATATATTCCTTCCTGAAATTACTTCTTTGTTCTAAACTAAGATTTAGATTCCTACCTGAAATTACTTCTTTGTTTTACCCTAATGTCAGATTCCTGCCTGAAGACTACTTGCTTGTCCTTGGCCAATGTCCTATTCCTGCCAAGCAGCACATTTCCTTGTCCTTGGCCCATGTCAGA